ATTGGCATATCACAACTCAACAACAAATTTGGGAAATCACTTGAAAAACGTTAGTAGTAACTAGTAGGCCTAATAGTATGATTGTAGTACATGAGCCACACTTGGCTATAATAGCCTATATATCATGTCATTAAAAAAGAAAAAATCTCCGGCAAGGAAATAGAAAGCCCGACGCACAATGGAGACCTGCTATTTTCCTGCTTGAACACAGACGACTAAATTCTTTCAACAATGTGACTCAAAATAATGTTAAAATAGATTTTATTGATGTAAAATATGCATTTTCCAGTTCCACCGGTCCGCTCTGAGTCTGGTGTCAGAGACACTTCTGATGCTCTGAGTTGCGCATCTGTTTGATTGTGCTGCAGTATGTGCCGAGGGTTTTAATTTAGTGTTCAATCAAAATGTAAACACTACTTATCACCGACCATTAGTGTTTTTTCGTTTGTGAATATTTTTATCTTAATTCAACCCCCCCCCCCCACCCCCACCCCCCCCACCCCAGTTGTCATGGAATGCTTCGAATTAAAGTCGTTCTGAGCTCCGAAGCTTTGAATGTCCATAAATGGATTGGAAGGTCAGCCCTAGTAAGCAGGAACAGGAACTGTCACACCAGTTCCTATTTACCATAAAGCGCACGCATCTTCCATTTTTGTTCCCGGTGTCCTCTGTTCTGTCAAATGGGTATATGAAGAAAGAGTCGCCTGGTTGAATGGCGATGTCCAGTATTCAGGATTTATCTAAGTTTCAGTGAAACAAAGCATATTACAGTAAATGATTTTTTTCCGCTGAAAACTGATATGGGTGAAGTAGCTTCCCTGTACATTACTGTCATTTCAGTCAGTCAGGGTGGATAAAGAAGGACAAATACACCAAATAGTACAATAAAAAAAAAAATTGGCCTATGTAATAATTTAAAAGTTGCATACATCAGTGCATGTACACAAGTTTTAGAGCCCTGGCTTGATAATGTTTGAAAACAGCATTAGTTCTGCCTGTGGCGCTGATTAGCTAATTGTTAGTACCCCTGCGGTGCTCATTGGATTGATGGATTGTCAACTGAGAAACTGTTGTTTCATGCCACGAGGTCAGACAAATCAGTCAGCCCTGTTGAGTGGACGGATTCAGGTCTGGAGCCAGGCAAGCAATCCTCTACTTAGTTCATCTGTTCATCTAGTTCATCTGTATAATTTCATAACCGACCTTGGCACCCATATGTGAAGTTGACGTCATCTTTTCTCACCATTAATGAAGTTGATGGTGGGACAACAAAATGCCATCTGCCAGCTTAACTCTTTGTATCTCTCTCACTCATGCAAATACACAAGAACAGTGAATGGCTTAAAAAGAGAGGTGGGGTTTATTGTGCAGCTGTATACTAAATACAATTTTAGGGCAGAAGCTTTCGTTAAGGTGGTATGGTATGGTACTGTATGTTGTAGTAAAAAGTCTGTATCAGCATTTAAGCTCAATGGTGTGCAGAAGGCCGATAAATGTTAACTTTTTTTTTTTTTTTTTGAGTACATCTTCTGATATTTTTCTGCTGTTGTAATAACATTGTGGGTGAACAACTATGATCCTCTCTGAATATGTGACCAGAACTCAAAATGTGAACAGGACTTTAATGTTCTTTGTCCTTTAGGGCGTTTTAGTTTAATCTGGTGAATGTTATACCATACAGGTCTAGCTGCTGTTGACATCCTGTCCCAGGTACCAGCTTATAGTTCATCAGCAAGGATCACAAAAAAGTAAAATAAAAAGTGTAATTTTCGTAATATTTCTTCTCGCTAAGTTGAGCTAGTTGTTATGAGTCAGAACAATGCTATGAACTCCAGGATCAGTGTTACAGTGCTTCTGTCTCTCTCTGAAATTAGTGATGTGAGCCCCTGAGACCGCAGCTGGTCCTTTGAGAGGGTCCCCAAGAAAATTTGTGTTATTGACAAATTGTAGTGCGAAACTTTTTTTTTTGGTGTTACATGGTTCTAATTATGGTAGGGCTGCTCAAATATGGAAAAAATCATAATCACAATTATTTTGGTCAAAATTTTGCAATTGATTATGTCTCTACATGGTCGCGCGTTTACAGTTCTCTGCTGTCTGTATCACACACAGCGGAGTTCGGCCCCGATGTGCGCGCACGCACACACACAGACCAACCTCTCTCACTCTCCCTCTGTCATTTTCCACACGCTATTTTTGAAATCTTCCGCAATCACCTCCCCCTTGCATTATTCGTAGTTCACCTACTTGACTGGCTCGTGGAGTGAATAGAAGAGAGGAGGGGATGGGGTGGTATTGCGCATGCGCGGCTTCCGTAGAAGACAAAATAACATCTCCAGGCATCCTTGACCAAAAATTGCTTACCCTTGAGTTCATTAATTTTTAAATTGTTTGACCTCAAAATCATAATTGCAATCACCAGACGATTAATCTATCTGAAAATTAAACATAAAGTCCTGCACGTTAAAGCATCATCTCGTCATTATTAAGATGAGTTAAGCCAGCATCTGCTGTCACAGCAGATGTTGGGAACTAGAGCCCCATTTCCACCAAACACTTTTGGTATGGTACCTTTAGAACCAAAAGTAACCCTTCAGACATGGCACCTAGACCCTAGTGTTTCCACCGCAAACGGTACCCTTAACTGCTCCGCAAAGCTTTTTTTCTCCTAGTGAGGATTAGAATATATTCTCTCACTTAACCCAGCCGAAATTAATATATAAACACTTGAAGATCCACTCGTTACTAAAAGTATATGTCATATAAAAACTGAAGTAATGGTCAGAGTTGTCATATGGAATATTCAGGGTGCGTTGATTGTTTTATGTCTTCACCTCATGCACTGAGTAACATTACAAGTACACGTTCCACTTTAAAAGTCGCCGGCAGTCAGCCGAGTGAATTATGTTATTTTTTACTCCGACTACAGCTTCTGCAAGAGGCAGAAAAACATAATTTCATTTTATAGTTACAGTCTACTAATAAAACTCTCCATGGTATCAACAGTGGTTACGTGAGCTTCAAAACCAGCCATAGCGCAGCCCTGAACAGAGGGCCCAGTGCTGCAGTGTTCACAGCTCCACCTTTTAGTACAAGATCTGTGTGCTAGGTACCCCAACAGAAGGGGCACCAAAAATGGGAACAGTACAGAATGGTTCCGTTAGTACCCTCCACAACTTTTCACAGTGGAAACTAGGGTTGTCATGAGAACCGATACTTTGGCACCAAGTCGATGCCAACACACAAAAAATACGTCGGTACCTGTTTTTATTCGGTACCGTAAGTACCGGATACAACTTTGCCCTCAGTGGGCCGTGTCGATTCCTTTCGGACCTGACAGGGGCAGTATACGCACATCAGTCTGTGCCTAGGACGAGTGCCGAAGAACGCCTGTTCTCCATTAGCCCGGCCTGGCCCGGCCCGTCCTTTAAACTGTAATTATGAGCCCGAGCCTGGTTTAAACCCAACTTTTTTTAAGAATACGACCGTGGACATTGAAGGCTGACTCTTGTCTTTCTTTCCATGGCAAGCCTTTGTCATGTGCCTCTTAAGTGTCGAGGTCCCCGTTTTGCTGTCATATACCAGCATCGTGCTGCACTTGGTACACTCAATGAAGCCGACACACACGCGTTGTCACCGTCGATCACTCACATGTGCGTGGCGAGAATCGTGGAAATTCACTGGTATTGGTATCGACTACTGAAATTCTGGTATCGTGACAAGCTTAGTGGGAACAGAAAAAAGTGCACCAAACTGAACTGTACCTTACCATACTGTACCGTACCGTACTGCTCAGTGGAAAAGCGGCTTAAGATTACAGGAATGTCTGTCGTAATATTAAGGCTGCCCTCCCTCCCCTAGTTGACCAAGCGTTAGTCGACTAGAGAGGTCATTAGTCAGCAAGATTTCATTTGTCGCTTAGTTGCAGAAAAAAAAAACACATGTGAAACTCTATTAGCAGCTGCACCTTGTCAAATAAATCATAACCTATATGACTGGACCATCAGCATCAGCAATCAGACAGGAGTCATGTTACTAACTAACACAGCTGAGAGATATCTTTCCCTTTTTCTATAAATATTCAGTCTGATAAATATGGAAAAGTTAACCATTTTAGTGCAGGGCTACCCAGAGCTTTACATCTGTTCCATGGATGATAGGCCTACACACTTATAAACAACATCTGGAAGAAGATCAGCTCTGCTCTCAGGATTTCAGGTAAATAGGCTATACAGTGCTTGTTAAGGTTGCAGCCTCAGACGCAACCTGCCGCCATGCTCTTGAAAGCTGGCACAAACAAGGCACAAGAGTAGCACCTAGCGTTTTCCAGGCGATTAAAGAAGCAGCATGTGTATGGCCCCTAATTTATAGGGCTGGTATCTGCTCTTATTACTTAGGCTAGTTAATAACATGTCAGGCAGGAAATCCAAAGTGTGGAATCATTTTGAGAAGGTGAAGAGAGCTGGGCATGATGGCAATAGGGCAAAACACTGACGCATCCTAAACACAAGTTTCATTCTTAGTGCTTTCTGTGACATGAGAAATACTGTTGGATTTGTTGTTCACAATGTAGCCTAATTGGGGAAAATAAAAGGATGTGACCCAGGACACATTGATAGTGAGTTTACTGCATCCTTTCAGATTTAAAGATTTTTCCTTTTTTATTTATTTATTTTGGCTTTTGCCCTTATTTGACAAGACAGTATTAAGGCGTGAAAGGAGGAGATAGAGAGAGGGGATGACATGCAGCAAAGGGCTGCAGGCTGGAAACAAATGCACAGCTGCTGCGGCAAGGACATTGCCTTTGTGCATGGGACGCCCGCTCTACCAAGGACATTGCCTTTGTGCATGAGAAGCCCGCTCTACCACTGAGCTACTGGTCACCCCTCCTTTCAGATTTCAAAGCATCAGGGACACAGGATGCATACCTAGAAACATGACAGGAAATATCACTCTTGTTCTCTTGACTTAATGGGGTTTCTGTCTTCTTCTTTTCACAGCGATGTTACGAACACAAGCAGTACAGAAACGGGCTCAAGTTCTGTAAACAAATTCTGTCCAACCCTAAGTTTGCTGAGCATGGAGGTAAGCAGCAGACGTACAGATAAAAAGATGGATGGAAAATTTCTCGTATCAGTGGGCAATGTACTGTATTTCTTACTATATGCTGTACCATTGGCTCTGTAGAGACCCTGGCGATGAAGGGACTGACCCTGAACTGTCTGGGGAAGAAGGAGGAGGCTTATGACCTGGTGAGAAGAGGCCTTCGCAATGACCTCAGGAGCCACGTCTGTATCCTTAATCATGTCACTGCACGCATAGTTTGTTAGTGAAGGAGATATGCTCTAAGCTGTTGTCACTTAAGACCTCTGGCTGGTGTGTCTTTTGTAAAATGTGTGAATGTGTGTGATGCCACAGGATATCATGCCACACATTATCGCTCTTGTCTTTTGTGGAGTATAGTCAGCACATCCTCTTTCTATGTCACTATGCATATTTATAATGCAATATGTAGAATTCAAATACTTTGCACCCAGATGCCAAGACCAGGACCTGAATCAGTCAACAACACTACTAAATATGTATATATATTGGTTTTCAACTGAAAAAGGTTGTCTGGGGCTTTAGTTACTCTTTAAGTGATTGATACATTATAGACCAGTAAAACCAGTTCTTGCTTTCACCAGGAGAGGCTCATTGGGCCCCAGTGACCCCAGTAAGCACAACATCTCTGTGCACTTCTGTATATCTTTTTAATAGTAGTCTGATAACATCCAGTGGAGTAGGTGGTTCCTATCTTCCTTAACTGTGCGTCCCAGGCTGGCATGTGTATGGCCTACTGCAGCGCTCGGATAAGAAGTACGATGAGGCTATCAAGTGTTACCGCAATGCTCTGAAGTGGGACAAGGACAACCTGCAGATCCTCCGAGACCTGTCGTTGCTGCAGATCCAGATGAGAGACCTCGAGGGCTACAGGGTGAGGACTGTCCTGAGAACTATGAGTGGATCCTTTCTAGCTCAAATAATTATTCCAAGATAGGTGTTGGATTATCATAATGAAAACCCATTTTCAGTCTTCCTGGCCCACTCAAGATCAGGACACAGGGTCAGCTGTAGAATAGCACAGCCTAGAGTCCATACCAAGCTGTGAGAAGCAGATTTAAGAAATATAGCAACTTTTATTTTTAATACAAGAATAAAACTGACTTAAGTCATTTGTGTAGAAAAAAACCCTGAACACACACTACCATCTGTCGCTCTGCCTTGTCCAGGATGCAGCATTGCACTGACTGAGACAGGAATCAGGTAGCAGTCAGGTTTCACAATGTAGAACACCACCCATGGGACACAGCCTGGGATTTAGATGCTTATTTGGTGAGAGGTATGAAACAGAAAGATGAAAGGATTAAAAATATGTATGAGGGAGGTAAAGGGAGGGGCTCTGAGTCAAAATGCGTTTTTTCAATTCTCTCTTAGCCAGCTAGTACCAACGTGGTTTTAATACCATGACTCGGCAGAATTTCTCTTCTTCGCTTTGTGCTGCTATCCATCACCTTGTTTCCTAATCATTTATCTCTCCAGCTACACATCACGTTACAAATCCTTTGGGCCACATATGAGGGATTCGTAATAGAGGGGACATAAGTTGAGTCTTTTTCACCCTGTTGGTTCTGATGGTGAGCATGGCCAAATAAACCTGTGTTTGCATTTTTTTTTTCTCTGTAGGAGACACGGTACCAGTTGTTGCAATTGCGTCCAGCACAGCGGGCATCCTGGATCGGCTATGCCATCGCCTATCACCTATTGGAGGACTACGAGATGGCAGCAAAAATCATTGAGGAGTTCAGGAAAACACAACAGGTTAGAGCCCATGATGGCTTAACATTTGTCTAATGTATTCTATAGTCCATCTTTCTAATCCTTCGTACACAAGGTGAGATATGGTTATAATGATCGGGATTGAGAAACTGATGGAACAGAGGGTAATGATTTATGAAGTATTTTGTGTATTAGAGATGCTGTTCAATGCACTGCAGTGTAAGATGAGTAACAGGGTTGCCCACATTTCTTGTCATGTTTTTCATGTCTGACTTGGTGTTTGATGCATCTCAGTTACAGTGCATGGTTTAGTCCTTCCTCTCAACAGAGTTGAAAAATGGGTGTTGTTTCTGTCATCTGTATCAGTCACAACTGCAATAGAGCTTACTCTCTCCGTCTCTCTGGCTTGCTCCTGATAGGAGCAGTCTGCTTCCTGTCTATGTGCCATCTATTTAATACAACAACAAGCTTGTGTCACTAGGCAACTGCACAAATACACGAATAATGATGGAGAGTTTCCTGAATTGCACAGTTACACCCAACAGGTCCAATAGATTTTCACTGTTGCTAGTAGAAAATGTTGATGTCACTAACAGTCATTTCTTTGACCAGACGTCTCCAGACAAAGTGGACTACGAATACAGCGAGTTACTGCTGTACCAGAACCAGGTGCTGAGAGAAGCAGGCCTGTACAAGGAGGCCCTGGAGCATTTATCCAACTATGAGAAGCAGATCTGTGACAAACTGGCTGTGGAGGAGACACGAGGTGGGTCACAGTGCTCCATACTTAGTGACAATGTCACACTGAATCCAAAATCTTGGAAATCCCTTGTTAGAACTTGGTGGTTCATCACATCTCAGGTCAGTCAAAGGGTAAACAATCCGAGGCACACTGTAGGATTTGTGCAAAAATTAAAAAGTCTTAATTTTACATGGCAATATAGATTAAAGAGATAAGCATCAGGGTCATTGTCTGCTGTAGCTTACATACCTGTCAGGTGTGTACCTGTCTACAGTGTGCCTTGGATTGTTTCTAAAGAAGACTTACATGTTATATTTTTCGAGTGAGAGTAATGCAATTAGGTCTTCGCAAGATGGAATAAACACAGTATACCTTAAGTATCCAAAGAGCACCTGTATGTGACTACTACTAAAACCCAGCAGGGCTTCTACTCCTTAGTCTTCACTACTGAAGGTTACTGTGCCTCAGATGGGCAAAGGCAAACACAGACTGGAGCAGCTCCAGTGAGCGAGCAGAGCTGTGAGTCGAACGTAACAACACGAAGCTGGTTCTACAATGAGAGTAAATTTGGGGTTATCTTTCACTTTAGCGGGTGAGCACTGAAGGAGAGAAGGGGCATGAAAGCGACATGCAGTTAGCCTTTTTTTGTTGGACCTGTAGGTGCCTGCATTTAGCTTCGTTAGCTTGCTAAAGTATCAGCTTTTCCAGTACAACAGAGGTTTGAAATAACGGATATCGGTCTACTTGATTATTAATAATTGGTGTTGGCGCTGAAAAAAAATAGTTTGACCTCTAGCAGATTTTTGCAGAAACATCCAGCTCTTTCAGCAGGCTGCTTTGCCCTTCGTTCTGGCAAATACTTAAAAACATGACAGGCAATTTGATGAGTTAGCTCTTAAAAATGTAGTGAATGTAGGCATATTCACCCCCGCTCTTTATTTAAAACAGTTTATATTCAGCTGGACCAGTCAGCATGGACAAAAACAAAGTGATGTTTGTTCATGTGATGAGATATCTTAATACTCAACACAGTAGGTGTGGCCTTGCTCTCTGTAGTTGCTTAGTACCTGCTGCGTTTTAGAGAATCTCACAACTGACATGACAGTTATGTATTTATTGAGTTGTACTTTTGCAAGATTCTAATTCATATTGTGTGTATAGTGTTAAGCTTCTCCAACCTTTTTTTAAGAACTTTCGCTAACTTCGGGTTATCAGTTGAATTTGAGCAGCTGTTGTCTCTTTTTATGTATTTTGACACCGGAGCTCTTCTGTCATGTTACTACAGGAGAGCTACTGTTGAAGCTGGAACGTCTGGATGAAGCAACAGAAGTCTACCGTCGCCTGCAGGAGAGGAACCCAGAGAACTGGTCCTATTACCGCGGCTTGGAAAATGCCCTAAAGCCAGGTATAACAATTTTTTCCTTTCTGTTTAAAACACCAGCATTGTCATGATAGACCACTGACTATTAAAATATCCACATGCATTGTACAAGCAACAGTTGTCAACACTACTGAATGTTTCTGGGGGGTGGGGTTCTCCAGGCGGTGTAGAAGAGAGACAAAAGATCTATGAAGATGCCTGGGACAAGTTTCCCAAAGGATTGGTTCCTCGCCGGCTGCCCCTCAACTTCCTCTCTGGTGTGGCCAAAAATACATCTTATTTAAACTAAAATATAACTTAAATTTCATCCATGTGTTAAGGAATAAATGACAAAGCTAGGAGCTGTCTTCACCTTAGTTGTTTAAGACGTTATTTTGGTTCCAAGTCTTTTTTTTTTTTTCTTTCTTTTTTTTTTTTGTAACTCCACTTGCACTTGTTAATCATTTTTGACCATGAGTGAATGATCTTCTCCATCTCACCTTATTCCTCTGCAGGTGATAAGTTCAGAGAGTGTCTGGACAGGTATCTGCGGATGAACTTCAGTAAAGGCTGTCCGCCCGTCTTCACCACCCTCAAATCACTTTACAACGACAAAGAAAAGGTGACAGCACTGCTGCTATTCATGTCAGATGACCGTGCTAAATCTAAACCACGTTGACACTTGTTCCTCAATTTATTTGAAACCAGCTTACATAATGCACTATAGGAAGGGAGGTCAATCTGAGGGAAAGATTCCAGTGTTCTCGATCAAAGTTATTCACTCACAAATGTGTACTCCATTCTGCAGGTAAGGTAATGAACTGTGTCCTCTTTCTCTTTGCAGGTGGCAATAATAGAGGAGTTGGTGGTCGGCTATGAAACCTCATTAAAAAGCTATAGAATGTTCAACCAGAACGGTGAGGAGAACATTTATTAATCAGGAAGATGATAATGAATCTGATATCTTTCTAATCAGCAATATTGAGTGTCGTGTAGTCAGTGTAGCGCAATAGACAGTTTTTTAAAGTTGTAATCCTTAATGATTTATTAAAGAAGTCAGTGGAAATAATTGCATTCATAAACTGATTTCATGCTGTGCACGTTGCAAGAAATTTTCCACACAACTGCAGAGCACACTGAAGGTGGTTACCTTGCTCAGGAGTTGGAGGTGTGCAGCTCTTAATCTAACAGCTCACTTAGGTTGCTCCCTCTAGTGTCAATTCTCCCTGCAAAGTTTTAAAACAAATCTACTAACAAAAAATGCAAAAAATGACAGTATAATTTTGTAGATGCATTTTTGATGAATGATTAGAGATAGTTCTTACCCTCGTAACAAATACATTGCCCTTCCTAGGAGTACCCTTAAGCCTGATTTATGGTTGGGCGCCTGACACTTTTGAAGAGTTGCTCGACAGAGAGCAGCACAATAATTTGAATTTATGCTTTGGCAAAAGAGTTCAGTCATCAACCAGAGACACCCTGTGATTTTTTTACAGTCCATTTCTGTTATTGTTTAGTGAACTATAATGTGAACAGACAGCAGTTTAAAATCACACAAATATCCCACTGTATATGTTTTTTAACTGTTAACCATATGAATTGATTGATCAGCTCCCAATCTGTCTGCTAGCGGCAAATTCCCCTTACTCATTATGGTGGGTTGGGAAATAAAATCAGTGAATCAATGTTGATTTCATCTCGTGGTGCTGACGTGAAAAATATTTTTAGTTCAGTAATTATCTGTTGTCAGTCAGCCTGGTGAAGGCAGTTTGGCCGCTCTCTGTCCTCTCAGTTCCGCAGGAGCTGCTGCTGACAGACGGCTGCTTCTGTGAACAGAGACACTGAGTACAGGTCGGAGTCTGTGTGGATTGAAAACTGCCATCTCCATGGCAATGATAGTAATACTACCAATCACATTGTGCAACAAAATATGACGTTTTCCATGGCATAAAAAAAATCTTCAGGTTTGCAACGTGAAAGAAAAATGTAGAGCGACACTTTATTAATATTGAAAATACGTCATTTCTGTCAAGCAACACTCGTCAAAAGTTTTGAGCACCCAACCATAAGTCAGGCTCAAATGTGACACAGTAAAAAAAGCTTGCTTTGCAAGAAACTTCATCTATCTCTGATTTTAGCTGTGGTAGAGTGAACAGTAAACTGTGAGGCTGATTTCAGTAATATAACATTAAACAGTAAAACTGAATCACTTGCATTGTGCATTTTGCATCGTGCATAGGTAGGAAATTTAAATCCATTGCTGGAATGGCAGATTGCACCCCTAATGATGATAATTAAGAGAGGTAATCACAGTATACAAATACATAAATGTTTACCGTAGAAAAATGCAGACTTAAAAAAAAAGTCCAAAACCAAGTTTGATTTCATAAAATTCTAAGGATTATAATCAACGCTTCTCATTCGTGGTTATGACAGGTTTAACTGTTGTAGTGTTTTGTGCATAATCCCAAAGACCTAAACTAAGACAATATGCCCTTGCACTGTCATAGATGATGGTAAGGAGGAACCCCCGACCACTTTGCTCTGGGTGCAGTACTTCCTGGCACAACACTATGACATGATTGGCCAACAGACACTGGCGCTAGAATATATCAACGCAGCAATTGAGAGTACGCCTACGCTCATCGAGCTCTTCCTTATCAAAGCCAAGATTTACAAGGTAACATACACCACACATTTGCACACGCATTTACTGTTACAACTGAGGAGCAGGGTGTTGCTGTGCTGTTGTCATGACTGTTGTGTTGACCTTTATCTTCCTGCAGCATGCTGGGAACATTAAAGAAGCTGCTCAGTGGATGGATGAGGCCCAGGCTCTGGACACTGCCGACAGATTTATCAACTCCAAGTGTGCCAAGTACATGCTGAAGGCTGGCATGGTCAAAGAGGCCGAGGAAATGTGCTCCAAGTTTACACGGGTAAGAGAAACTGTCTGTGGATGTGCACAAAAGTACACACTAACAGCTGACGAGCTGAGGGAAATGTGAAAATGGCAAAACAAAATCATGGCTGTTTTTTCTGTGAAGTCAGTTTGCTAAGAACTAGTATAAAGTGGAGACCTCATGATCGTTATGTATTACTATCCAACAACCTAGAATAACTGAAGGCGGAATTCTTTTCACTTATGTTGTGTTTCGCCAAGGATTTTTTTTAAAGCAGCAGTGCTGAAGTCTGTGACTTTTATTTTATGCAGCAGAAAATATATAGGGTTTCTGCTGACACGAAAAGGGCTTTACACACATACTTGTACACAGTTGTAGATGCTAGGAGATAATAGAACAATAGTCACGCATCAGAAAGATGAAAACACTGAATTTGTCAAAACAGAAGCCCATTAAGTATGTATGATTGTTTAAAATTTTAAAATATATATATTACAGAGCATTGTATAAAAAGTTCTTAAAAATATCACAAATATTTTAATTAACCTCAAAATGTATCCATATTGCTTGTTTTACACAAATTGCTTTCACTAGTTGGGTTAATTGTACAGTTCATCTGTTCTGTACTGTTACTGTAACACATTGAATATAATATGAAATATCCATAAAATATGTCACTTTAGGAATATTATACAGTAGTGTAAAAAAGTTTTCGGAAACTCTTCAGATTTTACACAATCTCCAATATTTGCAGAAAAATCTTTTTTTTGTGTTTCAAAAGGTGGCTGCATCTGACAGACACAAACAAATGCATTTTTTTTTTTGTTTATTAACAAGAAAAAATAACAAAACTAAATTCTTGATAGTTTCAACACGTCAGTTCTCAACATTGTCGGTATCAAAGTCAACAAATAACAGAGAATGTGTTAAAAACTGAACAAAAAATAAATAAACCTTCACATCATCAAATTAATATTTAGTAGCCCTGCCATTAGCACGCAGTAGAGCTCTAATTCTTCTTGAATTTTGCTTTTAATTCTTCCAAAATCTTTGGTTTATGCTTCGAAACAGACCTTTTGATCATCCACCACAGATTTTCAATGGGGCTCATGTCCGGGGATTGAGCTGGCCACTCTAAGACCTGGATATTGTGCTCCTTAACTTGCGAAACAGTATTTCGTTTTTATGTACCTGCATAAGAATGACAAAGTGAACCAACCAAGTTCTACGTGTGACAAGGGGCATTATCTTGCTGAAACATCCAGTTTTTACCTCAACGGAACAGTGCACTTGCAGAGGGGAGCATATGGGTTTTGAGAATGGCACAATACTTGGCAGTGTTCAATGTGCCATCACAGACAGTGAGATGACCAACACCAGCAGCACTCGTACATCTCCAAACCATAATACTGCCTCCGCCATGCTTGACGGTAGGTACTGTACCTGCTGGAGATAATGCTTCACCTGGCCTTATGCGTACCCTCACATTAGAAGGAGGAAGATAAAGCTGGAAACTGGACTCATCCGACCACAGAATCTTCTGCCAGTTCCTGGCTGTCCAGTTCTTGTGTGCTTGGGCCCAACGATGCCGGGCTAACCTCTGTCTCTCATTGATCAGGGGCTTCTTGATAGCCTTGCAGGACCTAAAGCCATGATCTAGGAGTCGGTCACGCACAGTGCAGGTGGAACACTGGACACCAGTTTGGTTTTACCACTGCTGCTGAAGCTCCTGTGATGTCATTTGGTGGTTTTCCCTGCACATGCAGATCAGGATGCGGTCATTTCTTGCTGAACAAACCCTTGGACGCCCAGATCTTGGTTTGTCTTCCAAGCAATAGGTTTGTTTGTATTTCTGCAGAGTGTATCCAACTGCTGAAGGACTGTATCTGCACTTTCTGGCTATCTGGTGGCAGCTGTACCCTTCCTGGCTGAGAATCTTTATCTTCAGGTGTGTTTCCTGCGTTAGGTTCCTTGTTTTAGCCATTTTTGTATCTGTAGAACTTTCAAACATGCTGGCTTTACATAGACACAAAGCACGGCAAAAAAATACTGTCTGCCTTCCTTCATTGGTGGATCAGTGGTACCAAAACGACTCAATACTCAAAATTTCTTGTGTATCTTTATGGAACCAATCAATTTAATTTTAAAAAATTGAAAGTTTTTAATGGCTTTTTTAGGCTATGGCTAAGAAATTGCACTTGGAGACTTAAGAGTGATTCTTAATGCACTATATCACAAATACATGGGGTGTCCAAAAACTTTTTTCCATCACTGTAGTTGCGAGTCGGCTCAATGCAAAGCCTATGCCGTAGCCTACACACATGGCCTTGTGGTGAGACCATTGCGAGCATTTATACCTGTGTGATGGTGTGTCAGTGGTCGCACTGCAGAGAAAGCTGCCTGCAGCAACACACAGGCCAAGCACTCAGCCTGTTCCAAACAGACATGTTTTGAACAGGCACTGCTCTAGTAATAACAGATTTACAATAATACAAAATGACTATTCGCCCTATAATTTGTTTGTCGGAGACTAGTCATTTTGCAGTAGTTGGCATGGTTAATTAGCTTGTCCCTGTTATGCCGTTTACTTTGTTCAAGCATGTGTTTATTTGGGTTTTTTTTTCTCTGTCGTTGTCCAGGAGGGAGCGTCAGCAGTGGAGAACCTCAACGAGATGCAGTGTATGTGGTTCCAGACAGAGTGTGCACTAGCCTACAAGGCCATGAACAAGTTTGGGGAGGCCCTCAAGAAATGCCACGAGATTGAAAGGGTGAGTCCTCAGTATCAGGGATTCTAGTTGATGCATTATGACCAGACCCTCAGGAAAGCCGTTCAGCCTTGCAGCCAATTTTTTTCCAGTGGCCACTCTCACAGTATTGCAATGAAAAAAAAAAAATCCCCTGTGGCCAAAAAGCATTTTTCCCATAGCTGTTGACAGAACACCTCAATCTGGTGAATTTATGAGTTTTTTTCTGAATTTGTTAGCCATGGTGGTTTTATAGTTGTTAAACTTACCCGTAATAGAGAGATACAACCTAAAAATCCTTGAAGTCATCACAATGTAAAGCCTATGAGCTGAGAGGGAATTCATGGGCGGGGCCAGTGGGAGAACCACTACTGTGTATATTCAGTGGGCACATACCACAGAAGTAAACCTGGAAGCAAGAGAACCTTTTGGTGTATGCGCCATGTTGGTGTCTGTTAAAATTTATAATTATGACATGCAATTTTTGTGAGACTCCTGAGACTCCTTAGCCACCCACGTTAAATATTTTGTATGTATGGGTCAAATTCTCAATTGGTTGTTTTTTGTTACATCTTCCTCATTTTTCCCCTCTCTTCTCAGCATTTTGTGGAGATCACAGACGACCAGTTTGACTTCCACACCTACTGCATGAGGAAGATGACGCTACGCTCTTATGTGGACCTATTGAAGCTGGAAGATGTGCTGCGGATGCATCCCTTCTACTACAAGGCTGCCATCAGTGCCATCCAGATCTACCTGAGCCTCCACGACAATCCCCTGACTGACGACAGCAAGGAGCTGCAGGCTGACACTGGTGAGGGGCAGTCACATTTGCACCACTGAGATTCCAATACATTTTAAATGCTCTCCTGGACAAACAAGACATTTTGTCCATCGCTAACACCTTGCTGTCCTCTCTAGCAAACCTTTCGGACAAAGAGCTTAAGAAGCTGAGAAACAAACAGCGGAGAGCCCAGAAGAAGGCCCAGCTGGAGGAGGAGAAGAAAAATGCAGAGAAAGAGAAGCAACTCAAGAACCAGAAAAAGAAAAAGGAGGATGATGATGAGGAGATAGGAGGGCCCAAGGAGGAGCTAATACCTGACAAGCTGGTCAAGGTCAGAAAAGAGGAGTCATAAAAAGTTCATTCAGTGGCGATGCAATAAAAATTGAATCGAATAGCAGCTGATTAAGTGAGCAGAATCAGTTGTGACGTTGACTGTTTTGCTTTGTGTGGTACTTTGTCATTTCCCCTTTACAGGTAGAAAATCCACTGGAAGAAGCTGTCAAGTTCTTGATGCCTCTCAAACACCTAGTCAAGGACAAAATAGACACACACCTACTGGCCTTTGAGATCTACTTCAGGAAAGGTTGGAAAGCACATTTGAATGATAATTGAATGACTTTTCTTTTAGTTCTTACCTTAACACTTAACACAATGAGGCTGGGGCAGTTCATCGACGTAATCAACAATCCATAAGCACAAGCATCCACCAAAAACTCAGTGAAAATCAATGTTCATAACTATTTGAAAAAAATAGTTCAGATCAAGGTCTAAATTAAGTCTTATATTAATCTAGTAATATAAAACCTTTAGAATAATGGATACATTAATAGTTAGATTAATTGACTAATCAATAAAATAATCATTAAATTAATCAATAAAAGAATAATCATTAGGTGCCACCCTGTAACACAGATTCACAATCCTTCTACTCCTTTCAGAAAAATACCTGTTGATGCTCCAGTCGGTGAAGAGAGCAGTGGCCATTGACCCAGACCACCCGTGGTTACACCAGTGTCTAGTACGCTTCTTTAAAGGAGGTAAGAAAGGGGGTTCCTTATTTATACCACAGTGCACCATATGTAGCATATCTTTTGTTGGTTTCATGTCCTTATAACTTGCTCCACACCAACCTCTTATTTCCCTTATTCTTACTTCTTTTTGATGTCTTTGTTTGCTGTATTCTTCCCACCATTGCTCACATCTCACTCATCTTCCTCACTTACCATCTTTCAGTCTCAGAAAGCAAAGAGCTACCAGAGGTGGTCAGGACGGTGCTGAAGCAGGAGATCACCCGGCTGTTCGGAGACAGCAATGCCATGAGCTTCAACCAGGCCTACCTCACCAAGCACTCAAACTCCATACCACACCGACTGGCTGGTAGGTCTCTCACACACACAATGTTAGTAAAGGACATGTTCACATTTCACTAAGCCACCCAGAGTCCTCTGCCTGTCTATATTTTCCTCGGATGATGGCTTTTAGTGTTGATAACACCTAGGCTTTGAAAATTAAATGTTTTTCATGTGGGAACTCCTTCCCTTCAGCCGTTCTGGTGGTCAGATACAGCTTTAAATAGGCCTTGAAGATGTCTGATTTTTTTGGGATTGGCACAACTCCCAATAAACATTTTCTTGAAATATACTTGCTTTGTAGTTTAGGATAATTTGGAATAGCAACTCCACCTCATCGTCCATCCAGACAAACGTTTGTGTGGTAGCCATTTTGTTTGTTTATACCTCATTGCTCTTTAGAAGGAAGCGTACGTGAGCAGGCGCATGTTGTATCATTACAAAGCCACACCTTCAACTACTGGCTCTGTGTGCATGGTAGTTGTTAACAAAATGTTGTCGTCTGAACTTTAAAGTGTAAAGGGGAAACGTCTCCATTCTCAGTGGATCGTTTCTGTGTAAATGTGGCCTTAGTGAGGTTAATAAAATATTGACACAATTTAAAATATATGTATTAGTGTCCTTGTGATTTGAAGTAGTCCTCTTTTCCTGTTTTTCATTAAACCAGAATGCCTGTCGTGTTGATGAGTTGATGAGACATAGAATCTGACTCTATTTTTCCAGCATAAACCTTTTCACAGCCTTGACCTGGTGGTTGGTAATTAATTACATAAATCATCTTTGGATATTTCCATCTTGAGTCCTGTTTTTTTGTCTATCTCTCTAACACTGAAACTACTCTCCCAACACTCTTGTTGAATGCATGTTACTGTATCACAGGGACTATTTTGGTTCACAAAAGACATATGTTTCTCTCTTTTTAAAACACTCTCAGTAGAGATTCACAGATTTCAATTTTCTTGCCTGATTCTGATTTTCTTTCTTTCTAAGAACAATAATTAAAATCATACACACGCATATTTGGAGCTTTTCTTTAAAGCCACTGGAAACTTGGCTTAAAATAGTAAAAAATGCATATATGTAATCAAAGATGAGCATCCACAAAAATCTGAGTGAAAATCAGTGTTCATAATTATGAGAAAAATAGTTCAGAAACAGGTAATTTGGCTGCTCAGGATTATGGTGGTGTGATCAGATTACACTTGATTGACAGCTCCCTTTCAGCTCAGGCAGTGTTATCCCTTTATTTTCCTTTCAATCACTTGTGGTAAACGTTTTGCTGCCACAGAATAAACTACCAACTCTATCAAATGGACCCCAATTGGTTAGAAAGCTAACTAGGCTAACTAGATTACAAGGTTAGATTTCCCAAATCTCTGTTTTTCTTCAATTGGTGCAGTGCCCATTCAAAAGCTGCCTGTTCAGAACAGAAACTATGATTGTTTGGCCTGTGGTGTTGCAGCTTGAAGCTTTCTGGAGAGCGCTCATCCAAACCGCTTCACACTCAACACTATACTTCTTTGGATGCAGAGCAGCACACCTGGACTCAAACGGTTTTAGATTCATTATGATGTTTAGATATGAAATGTTGAATTATTGTGTTTTTATTCATTGTACTCTGAAATAAGTTACCAAAGGCCAAAGCACTTAAAAAAATGTGCAACTCAGTGCTACACTCCTTACTTAATGTATGCTTCTACTTCTTTTTAATAGGATAACATTATACTATACATTTACCAGACAGAGACATGTTACTGGTTACACTGCAGATTCAGATTTTAATCACAAAATATAACAATTAAAATATGGTGTTTTTATTTATGAAACTATCCAGCACTATATAAAGCTCCACCTAAAATGGGCATTCAGGTACATTTAAGCACATTGTGCCTTCATCACCTCTTATTTTCCTCCTGCCCCCGTTTCAAGCATCACTTAACACATGCATTAAATGTTTTTTTTTAACGCCTGTACGGTGTAGAAAGAAAAACTTGACATTATGTATAGCAAACAATTTATTTAAATGGTGTAAGGACCACAGAATAGTTTGAGAGCTAACAAAACTTAAAATCATGCAGCTCATATCCACAGAGAGAGAAACAGAGACAGCAGTGTAAACTGGTTGCTACATTTTTATAGAGTTCTCTGCAGATACAGACACAAGTACACACTGCTAGGGTTTTTTTGTTTGTTTGTTTTTTAGGAAAATCCTGCAGATTATGCATTTAACACAGGAGCTTTCAAATCCCATGCAGCATGCATGGAAATGAATTCCAATTCGGGTTGCAGCAGCTGTGACAGTAGAGAGGTACTGTCTATGCAGCTGTTCATGACATGAACCATTGTATGTAAATTTAATCAACACAGGATCAGCTTTATCTGAAACTGTCTGGCCAGTCACCGATCATGGCTGATTAAGCTAAAAACCAGGCAGTTCAGGTCACTGTCCGATCAATCAATGCATCTCTAACTTTCGGATACCTAAAAAACAATCTTGGTTCTTCAGGTCACATTCCTTGTTGAGTTTTTACAAAAATGCTTTGTTTCAAATACACACACTTTCTCCCTTCTGCAGCTGCTAAGATGATGGTGTATCTGGACTCGTCGACGGAAACGAAGGCAGCAGAGCTGGCTACTGCACTAGATGAGTCACTCAACAACAGAACCATAGAGGTACGTATTCATGGAAATATGCAATGTAATTGTTGTTTGGTAAAAAAAATATGAAATGCAATGGTAGCAATAATACAGTGATCCCACAGTGGAAATAATTATATATGTGCAGTCCTTATAATACTGAAAAAAAATTATATATGGTAAAGAATCTGGTACTCAGTATAGTCCCTATGTAGCAAACTCATTTCTAGATAAACTTGGATTTAAGTCAACATCTCAATTTCTGGCCATTGTGGGGCTTTGTCTGATTTTTTTTTTCTCAAACTCTCAAATTCAGAGGATAAATCCAGTTTTGAAGCATGTAAAGGCATGTAACAGTAGCTGTGGCTCAGGAGGTAGTGCAAGTCATCCACTAATTTGAAGAATAGTGGTTTGATGTCCGGCTCCTCCAGTTTGCATTTTGAAGTTTCCTTGGCCATGATACTGAACCCAAAATCACTCCTGAGGGCTGTTCCATCGGTGTGTGAATGTATAACTAATGAGCAGGTGGCAATTTGTATGGTAGCCTGGACCACCAGTGTGTGAATGGGTGAATGTGGCATGTCATGTAGAGTGCTTCAAATGGTCAGAAGACTAGAAAAAACCTTTAGAAATAATGAAAATCCATTTACCAAGTCCATGATTACAAGCTAGCAGCAAACACTTTACCACTGTGCTCTTGGAGAGTGCTACTCTCCCTCACTCAATCACTCTCGGTTTTCCTGAAATAATTAGTGAAAGGCTTGATGTTACAGTAACAAGGCAGAAACCAGGACACTGGATTTACATCTGATTTCAGTTGGCAATGGCAATTTTATTTATGTACCACATTTCATTACACATAAACTCAAAGTGCTTTACAATGAAAAACAACAGATAAAAGAAGATATGAGAACATTAAGTTTGCTTTTAAATGTGAACACAGTTGTGCTCAAAGTCAGCAGGCAGCTTGTTCCAGAGTGACATGAGAGGCCTAAAGAGAGAGAGCTAAATTATTAAAGACTGTAGTATTGATCAGCGCTAATGGTATCGGTTCTTTTGTGCCGGCGCTGATCTCCTCTACACACATCCACACACACACACACACCGACATAACACGGTAACCGGTGAACAGCCGAGCAGCCGCGGTGGAAACAAAGTGAAGATAACTCGACAATGACTCAAGTTGACGGCAGCTACACTCGTTACTGTAAGTGACATTAACCCTTAGTGGGTAAGAAGCCAATAATTTATCAATACATGTGTTCAGCAAGCATGAACATGTAAACATGTAGACAGCAATATTCAATATGCTCCTTCCACAGTCTCTCATCCACCATCACTAAAGTTATGTCTTACACAAGGACACAGCACTAGTTCAGCTGATAGCCAATTGTTACTAATAAGCTCAAATGACAGCTGTCTGTATGTAGACTAACTTAGTTTGACACTTATCTTAAAATACTTTTAAACTTAGCTGCTGGCTCCAACTCTCTACCAGCACGTAACCAGCCAAGCTGGCGGAGCCAAATACAGGGCACACTCAGCAGTGAAACCCGTGTACACGTTTACATGAAAAAAATTACCCACTCTAAACATTTAGAGATTTTTGTACACGAACTCACCCCTATCATCTACATCATCACGCTAATTTAAATAAATTTTCCGCAACTTTGAGGTGCGGTGGAAATGCAAACCGCACAGCTTACCAGGAATTCTTTTACCCAGGTAAACAAATTCCTGGTAAGAAAAGTTCCTGGAAATGTTGGTGGAAAGGGGGCTAATGAAAACCTCTCACACCCCACCCCACTTATGTTAGTTTTTAATGGCTTAGCAATGCACATTAAAATACAACAACAGTGTTTAAACTTTTGTCAATATAGGCATGCTACACATCGTTAGCTCAGTTAGATTCCCACAAATACAAGTATGTGGGTTGCGCCCATAAAAAATTTGCCAAATCTTCTCTGCCAATGTCAAACAGCTTCTTTTTTTTGTTGCTGTTGCTATTGACTCTTGTTTTGAGCTTCTGGTACCCCCAGGTGCACCTGATTGTCGGCACCTGTGAGCATGGGCCACGCTACAGTCAGTAGGTGTCTGCTCCAAGAATTGGCATGCCATGTTTGACGGATCTGGATAGGGCCTGTGCAATAGGGCAACTTCAAGCTGGTGTTCTGCAAAACCAAGTTGTGGCATTATTTTGAGTGAGCCCTAGTACCATCTGCAAACTGGAGGCCAAGCTCCATATAACAGGGAGTGTCAGAGACAGGCTGCAAAGTGGGCATCCCAAGAAGACAGCACCCGAAGTAGACCGTTTCCTCAGCCTGTCAGCACTTTGAACCGTTGGCAGTCTTGTACAGATTTGTAGTCAAGGTTTCCAGGACGATATAGCTGACATCTCTCTGCCCAGACAGTCCAGAACAGACTGGAAAAACAAGGCTTGTCATCATTGGAGGCAATCTCAATGTGGAGAGATATCGAGATAAAATTCTGCAACCAGTGGCAATCCCATATCTCCACAGTCTGGGACTGAACACGATGACGACGCTCGCCCCCACAGAGCAGGGTTTATCAGAGACTACCTCCAGAATTTGGGAGTGGAGAGGATGGAATGGCCCGCAAGTAGTCCTGACCTCAACCCCATTGAACACTTGTGGAATCAGCTTGGGTGTGCTGTTCATGCCAGAGTGACCAACACAACCACATTGGCTGTCTTGCGACAAATGCTGGTTGAAGAATGGGATGCCATCCCACAGCAGTGTGTGACCAGGCTGGTGACCAGCATGAGGAGGAGGTGCCAGGCGGTTGTGGCTGTGTATGGTTCTTCCACATGCTACTGAGGCTCCTGTTTGTTAAATGAATAAATTGTTAAATAGCCAATATGTCTCGTTTCTTCAGACTTCAGTCATCCAATCCACCAAACAACAGACAACGGCAAAAAAAAAGCTGTTTGACATTGGCAGAGAAGACTTGGCAAATGTCATGGGCGCATCCCACATACTCAGCTCTGCTGCTCATCCCACAAATGCATGTCCCTTACAAATGTGGCACCTTTTTAAAGGGAAATAAACAGGCTTTCCAATGGTATACGATTTATTGCCAAGAAGCATTGTTACAACAAAGAAATAATCTACCAAACACAAATTTCCTTACCTTTTGTGCTTAGTTTATTGTAATAGTTTTCCTTCAGATTTGTCTCTTGCCCCTTCTTTGGTCTGTATCCAGCATAATACCTTATCTCAAAGAAATGTATGGAAACAAATGTATATGTAACACAAAAAGGCAATTTATTGATCTAGCTGGTCAAAAATATGTTTGACCAGTGGATTTTGTTTTCATTTACCAGCCCCCTTGTGGCAGCATTTCATTTCAGACACTGTTTCCAACAGTGAATAAAACTCCAAATGTATTTCTGGGTTGGTGTGACTGTAAATGATAAAGCAAGTCACATATTTCATCTCACCTACTGTAGATTGTATACAGCTCTGTTAATGGATCAGTCAGAATTAAAGTTGACTTTTAAGTAACAATTTCCTAAATGTGTGGAACCTTTATTGTCATGTTTCATCATTTTTTTTCCTCCTCAGATCTGCACAGAGATCCTGGAATGTCTTCGGAGTGGTGTGTTGGGTGACTGTACGGAGCGTGCAGAGTCGTACCGCGCAGAGTGTCACAAGCTTTACCCCTACACGTTAGCTTTCACACCTCCTGGATACGAGGAAAACACAAAGATCGCCAACGGAGACATATCCACGGAAACGGAGGAGCTAGCCAATGAGATGTGAGCGCAACAGAACAACAAAGGATTAGAAAAGGAATTGAGCCGAGTGCAGAGCCTTGTGGTACGCCTGGCAGACATTTTGTAGAGCCAGACACAGGAAGCAAAAATGGGTGTTTCGTTCTTTGGCTCAGCTCAATCGGGTCTGTCCTGGCATGGCTTGTCTCTCCCACATGGTGAAAATCAGGACTGTGTGTGTGTGTGTGTGTGTGTGTGTGTGTGTGTGTGTGTGTGTGAGAGAGAGGGAGGGAGTGAGAGAAAGAGGGGAGGGGGATAACAGAATGGCCATTTTACTTTTTTTTAATAAAGCTGACAACCAAGCTGAATATGAAAATTAACAATAGTTATTGGCAAACTGTTCGGAGAAACTGTGACGGACTGTCAGTTTCCTTGGAGATGATCAATAACGGTAACAGCAACCACTCAAGTTTGACTTGATGCTGTTCCGACACGCCTATCGCATACTGCCTATCCCTTATTTTAAAAAGCTAATTTAAATGAAAATAGGACACAAATGTCGCTGGGGGACAGGAGACTGAGCTGAGAGGATCTGATCTTTGACAGATCTGTAGGAAGCTGAGCAGGAAGAGATACTGAGGACATCCAGCAACCACAAGCGAATCTGTATCTGCTGTACCGCTTCAGTAAACTGATCTACATGTGGCAGTGCAGTGGAGTGTCTAAGGAAGGCCTGATCTCTGCAGGGGCACAGCACAAATGTCACCTCACATGTGAACAGTTTTTTGTGTGTTTTTGATTTTTTTTCTTTCTATCTTTCTTTCTTTCTTTTTTTTTCTTTTTTGGTCAAACTGTGCTTCCCTCACGGTTCCTGGTTAAACTTGGGAATATGTAATCCTCTGTCTGTTAATATGGAGCACCTTGTAGCACAGATTAAAAACTGTAAAGGGTGTGTGTTGTGCTCCATTTCAAATACACTGCTACTCTTAACATTTTTACGTAGTTCCGAGAGAGTTGGATAGATCTAAGCAATACCATAGACACCTTCCTGTCCATAATGGATCAATGACGCTCTTCTTATTGATAATCATTTCTAGATCGGGTTGAAGTGGTTACACGGAGCCTCCTGGCAGTCACTTGTGTCGTTGCTGTTGTCACTGATAGAAATGGTTTTATCTGCATGAACACAGAGACTCTAACAGTCAGAGTGGAAACATCCTACTTCAGAGGGCTCTTTTCTGCAAATTCACATGGCTCCATTAAAGGTCAGAGTTCAGCATCCAAACCTGTTGCCCAAGTTGACAGAAGCAAAATTGTTACAAGGCGAGTAAAGGTATGAGCATCTGAAATACATTGTTTTACTTTTTCTGTTTCCCCCCTTTTCCCCCACAATCTCTTTTCTTTCTCTTTTTTTTTTCTCTCATTTGGGTTCTAATGTGAAAGATGAAATCTGAGATGGCGATGTATGATACCTCTGGATTTTTGTATTAAAACCAAACAAATGAAAGCAATTGACTTTTTACATCTGTTTGGAGCCACTGCTTACCTCACTGAGCTGCTGGTGTATTCCTAGCTGACAGGTCAGACTCAGCATTGTGGGTGAGGCTGACATCACACTCTTTGTCCTCAGACGTTATCACTTGGTGCTTCTCAAAGTCAAGGAAGGATCCTTAAATGGCCAAATTTCAAGGAGGCTACATCATCGAATCCCAACAAAGGACTGTTTCATTGTCAGGGATCCTTCGAATTCTACCAAGGACTGAGTCCTTCCTTCAGGGCATTTACAAGGATGCATACATGTATCCTCTGCAGGCATTAAGTACCCACAATTCTTTGCACACAATTTGCCAGAATTCAAGGCGGGACCTCTTCGAGGATGCACACCGGGGCATTCCCTAGCCTGTTTCAGTGTGTGTTCACTGAATGCTGGGAAGGAGTCTCACTATAAATATAATAAACTGGAGCTTCCATGCTTTGATTACCTGCTGTGTAACAACATGACCCTCATCCATTTAAAATGAACGTTGGGTCTTCTGAGTTTATTTTGGTGAAAGTAATGTAAGTAGTGTAATAAGTAACTTAAGTTGCTTTACAATATTACTCTGTGTAGAGTAATATTGTAAAGCAACTTATCACTCTGAGATGAAGGTAACTTAATATGTAATACATTACATAATTAGAGTAACTTGCCCAACACAGTCACCCAGAACAGTACCTGTAAGAGACGGACGGCAGGAGACTGATCTATGACAGTACATGCATTCCAGCAGTAGAGGGCAGCAGGCGTTCCTCTCGTAGGGCAGGTGAGTGGATGAGGTAGCTGCCTTGGCCATCGCTGAGGTCGAGGTGTGAAGTTGTTAAACATATCTTATATGATTTTAATCCAGCATAGTGAGTGTTTGTGTGTCCAGCTAATAAGTGATTGATTAATATACACAGAGAGGCAGGTAGTCCATATTATGTCATATCCATCCGCTATGTTGGCTGTGCACAATGTCTCGGGTAGGTCCCACATCAATTAAAGATTTTAAGTGGACTAATGAAAGGTTTGGGGGTGATGTAACAAACGTATTTATCTATAATTTTTTTCAGAGGAATCCAGAATATTAGCCCAGAGTCTAAGACCCTATGCCGACGCCTGGCCGCTTGTCATTTGATCATCTCTCCACCCTCCGACACCAATCATCACAGAGCTGTCTCAGTAAACCCTCCCTCAGGCTGCTCAGCACCGGGAGGTTTCTAGGAGCTTTTGGACGGAAGGTTGCACTGAACCATGTGAATACTTTACCTCTTGAAGTCCTGCTGTAGTTGTAGCCTCCTGTTGAAGCTGCATCTTTCCAAACCTTTGCTGGAGATCACGTGTGACGCGCAGCGCGTTTCTGCGCTTTGTTTACCGGTGAATTTTGTATGAAGGAAGGTTAAATGGAGTCATCCCTGGAGTTCTCCAGCTCTTTGGGCAGCGTGTCCTCATTGCTGACTCGCTGTCGGACTTTTAAAGTGCTGGTGATAGGAGACTCCGGGGTGGGGAAGACCTGCCTCACACACCGACTCTGCGCCGGGGAGTTCCCCAGCAGAGTGGAGGCTACCATCGGGGTGGACTTCCGCGAGAGACAGCTGGACATTCACGGAGAGAGAATTAAGGTAAGTAGTGATGTATGTACATCACTTTTTTTTAAACAGTGGACAAACTATCAGACTAATTGTGTCAAACATTCACTTTACACCCAGCAGCGGTTCTCCGGATGGTATTTAAATAAACTCACTAATATATTTTCACTAAATATTTGCTCCTGTAGATTTTATGTTAATCACTTATAATTATAACATTGAATGCTCTCACTATGCTCTTTATGGGCCAGATTGAATCACCCTGAACAAACGTAACTAAAAAAAAAAAAAGAGAACAGCATATTCCTCATGCAGGTTACATGAGAATGTTTGTTTTCTAACAGTGGCTTCATCATGTTTTATAGGTACTGCACTTTGATCTCCTGTTGGCTCTAAATATTCTTGTGGCCCTGCTGAGTTATTTGTCCCAGACTGACTTCTCTTTCTGTGTTTGCAGAACTAATGCAGCCTTTAAATCACTGTGAACATTACATGTTTGATTCTACTGCATGTTTCTGTTTTATCATCAGCATCAGAGAGCTGTCTGACTGATAAATGGTTCGGCTCTGATTTTAATCCTGAAGTTGTGACAGGATTAATTAGAGCCCCACTGTGTAAACACAGTTAGGGAATTTTATTTGATGAGTCTATATAAAAAGTGTGGGTGTTAGTTGGCTCGTGCTGTTTCCTGAGTGTTTTGAAACTAGCACATGACAGAGGAAGTGTTTGTCTGTGGTGACTGAGGATTTCCTCAGAGCTTTAGGGTAGAAGAGGTTTCAAATTTTGCCCCAGATAATGTTATTGATAAGGGTATTAGACAAACTGTAAGTCTTCTGTTCAGACTGAACGTGTAGTTTAAGAAATATCTCAGTTTGGGTGTTAATCAAAAGTGTGTGTGTGTTTGTGTGGTGTTGTTGTTGTTGTTGTTGTTTTTGTTTGTTTGTTTTGTGGCAAGTAACGTTCAATTCACTTAAACTGTTAATAAGACTTCTGGGCCCAGATCAGAATGATCCACATTTGGAAATCCCATGTTTTGCTATCCATGATCAGATAACCTATCTTACTTTTGTATATTCTTTTTCAAGGCAACGTTATATTGGATCACCCTGATCCAGATACAAACGTTTTAAGATTACTAAATCCAAATAATCAGAGCTCTAAGTGGAACTACATATCACAATGTAGGCTACTAACTGTGTATAGAACAGGCAGAATAGCCAGTGTGAGACAGCATGGGGTCTATACTTGTGAAAAATTGATATAAAGTGAGAAATGAAAGTTAGAATTAAAGTAATAATCTCAAGAATTTTAATTTAATGAATGTCTGTTAAGTCACTATCACCATTGTCTACTTTATCACAGCTTCACAACTGTTAAACAAATATGTATATATATATATATATATATATACAGTACAGGCCAAAAGTTTGGACACACCTTCTCATTCAATGCGTTTTCTTTATTTTCATGACTATTTACATTGTAGATTCTCACTGAAGGCATCAAAACTATGAATGAACACATGTGGAGTTATGTACTTAACAAAAAAAGGTGAAATAACTGAAAACATGTTTTATATTCTAGTTTCTTCAAAATAGCCACCCTTTGCTCTGATTACTGCTTTGCACACTCTTGGCATTCTCTCCATGAGCTTCAAGAGGTAGTCACCTGAAATGGTTT